TGGTAGTTAAGCTTAGAAGTTTTCATTCAGGCCCCCACATTTGTACCCTAAAGTTCAGAGTGGGGAAGCAGCCTTGACAGAGGCTGTCCTCCCAAGGTCATCTCTGTGAAGTTTAAATGCAACATTTTACAGAAGCATTATTGTTTGCGACACAGACAACACTGTTTCAGTGGTTTGAAACATAGCCAGTATTCACATACCTGACACTACCTGGCTGACCCCAGGCAAGCACACAAGCCACAAGACCCTCAAAATGGTGAGTAGCTGCAGGGGCAGGGTAAATCACTGTTCCTGGACCCTGATGTACACTGGGCATGTGGCTCTTGGGCAGCTGGGGAGAGACAGCACTGTAGGGGGGGTCTGATAATCATTCCTGTCCCCACACTTTCCACAGCAGATGATCATTATGGAAGATATTTCGCTGCTGAGGGTGAGCAGGGCATCAAGGGAGGGTCTTCTCCAAGACTGCGGCTTCCGCCCAGGCCCCTATGCTGCTAGCTTGTGTGCAGCTATGGTGACGGCATGGTGGCGCGGGAAAGTTACTGTTAATGGGGCAAGAAACAAAGCAGCTCTGCCGAGGAACCTGCGGCAGCAGATTGCCCAGTATCTCCATGAGAATTTCCTGGAGATCTCTGAGGGAGATTCCCATGAAGTGAGGGAGTCCATCAACAGCCTGTTCTGCCGCTCAAACTAGGCATGAGGTGGGAGACAAGCCTGCTTTCTGCAACCTTCCTGCCCCCAACAACTCGCTTCAGCAATTCTCCAAATCAGATCCACTTACCAGGGGCCTCCTCTCCTGTTTGTGCTTCGCCAATATCGGACTGCTGTGACTGGCTAGGCTCCTCCGGGGTAGAAAAGAGCTCCTGACTCCATGCATATCTGGCCTCCGAGTTATCTCTGCCTCTGGGTCCCCCTCCCCCTCTTCATCCAAGATTATCTCCTCCTGGCTCAATCCACTCTCGACTGGCAACGAAGCCAACGAAGTATCCACAGGGGACTTTGCAGTGGATGTCAGGTCACCATTGAGTATCGCGTCCAACTCTTTGTACAACCGGCAGCTCGTGGGCGCAGCACCAGAGCGGTGGTTTGCCTCCCACGCCTTGTGGTAGGCTTTCCGCAGCTCCTTCACTTTGACCCTGCACTGCAATGTGTCCCAGTCATGGCCCCTTTCTATCATGCATCTAGAAATCTGTCCATAGGTATTAAAATTCCGACGGCTGGAGTGCAGCTGTGACTGCACTGCCTCCTCTCTCCAAATGCAGATGAGGTCCAGCAGCTCAGCATTGCTCCAAGCAGAGGATTGCCTGGTGCGTGGAGCAGACATGGCCACCTGAAAAGATGCACTGAGACCATTGCACACATCGCCGAGCAAACAAGAAGGGGATTTTCAAATTTGCAAAGGAATGTATGGAGTGGGGCTGACGGTTGGTCACCTGAGGGCAGGGTAGTACAGTTCAAACTGATGGCCAGAGAGGACACTTCCCAGAGGCCAATTGCAGCGCTGTAATCACCACGGTGTCTACACTGGCACCGCAGCGCGGTAGCCACGGCGCAGAAAGCTGTAGGCCTCTTATTGAAGTGCTTTTTTTTTTTTTTTTTTAGAGTGCTGCATCTGTACAGTTTCTGCACACTAAGTGGCTTGGCATAGCCCCCCATCCCTGGGGCTATGTCCCCAACGGGACTTCGCTACTAATGACTACTAACTATAATACTAAAACTACAATAACTACATACAAGAAAAACTCAAAAGAGTCCAAGCAAAAGAAATCATTATGCGGCTTGTGAAAGCAAGGAACATTCCAACACCATCACTAACAGAAAGAAGGAGCTGAGATGGCGCAGGGCCGATGGCACCCAACATACTGGCACATAAGCATGGGGCTCCAGAGCTGGCCCTACAGATACCACTAGAGGAAAAATTTCCATTGACCATGCATGTGGGCATGCACACACCTAACATGGAATCGACATAAGGAACAATTTGAAGAAGTGGTCTTATTTCAAGCCATGCTGCCAACTGATAACATTCAAAGACCGTATATTATCTATTTTCAAAAATTCCAAACTGTTTAATTTTAAAAAGGTGCTTTCTTATACTTTTTATTTTTAAATAATTAAGCACATACATACCTCAGAATGTTCATCTCTTTCATCTATAAGTCTTTTTAAATGTAATGCCATATTTTTCAAGAGAGGCTCGATATATTCTTGTGACACAATGCTGACATCCATCCACTGCAGATCAAATACATTTTCCTGATTATGAGTTACCTATAAGAGAAAGAAATAATTGTGAAAACAACCTTTATGCACTATTTAATTATAATGCAAAAAGAATATAAGAATGCAAAAGAAGTATAACAAGAGGAATAATTGGGAAAACTCCTCTTAGCTCTGGTCTCCCAACTCAATTTATCCTCTGTGGGTTCTAATACATTAGAAAATGTCTGACAATAAAAAATATGTTAAGTTGTATTTGATGGAATAGTTTCTTTACATACAATGAAAACTTGGAAAGCAGCTCAATTAGGCCTAGCAGCAACTACCGATAAAATATTAGGAGGGAGTTGGGAGGCTGGCAAACCTGAGGTGTGGGGAGCCAGACAGGTAGGAAAGGCTCTGGGAAAGAGGCAGCAGGTCTAGGAAGGAACAGACCTTGGCTGCTGATTAGAGGGTCCCTGAGCTGGAACCTGGAATAGAGGGTGGGCCCAGGTTCCCTTACCAGCCACTGGGGAAGTGGCACCAGCTGGTCAGGGTATAGGAAGACTGCCTGAGCCTTTTCATAAAAGGCTTTGATACCCTAGAAGGGGAGGACCATAGTGACCTGGCCAGAGGGCCAAATCACGAAGAAGCGGCAGCAGCTCCTGGAGCGAGAGAGTGGCTGCAGACTGAAAGAGTGAGATGGAAAGACAGAGTGCAACTGCAGAAAGGGGCATCGGCCTCGCAGAGCTAATCCCCAGAACCACCAGGAAGAGGCATCATCCAGTGATGAGTAGAGTATCCAGTCACAAGAAATCAAACATTTCTAGTCTCATATAAAAGATTTGATTTAAGAAGCCACATCTTTGTGAACAGCATAAAAGAACCCTATGAATAGTTATCTAACATCCCTATTTTAAAATGAAAGATTAATCAATCAATATTAACATCCACCAGTATTTCATTTCAGCAACATAAAAATGGAACAACAAAAGTGGTAAAATACAACCCTGGTAGCCTGGGGCATGATAGATGCTGCACCATGCTGCCATGTGGGAGTCCTACACTTAAGAGTGACCTCAAGATGACGTAATAAAATCAATTCATTGCTATGTTGAGTTTGAAGTTAAAGTACAGCCTGACAGCTTGTTTTCTTCTTATACCAGGTTAAGTGCCTTATTCACAAGGTGAGCATAGTTGCAATAAGAAAAGGATGGGTATGGTATGTTTATTTGGGAAAAAATATGCTTGTAACTTAGAATGAATGGAAACTTTAAGAGTTCCAGACTTATGAAGCCCCAGACTCCCATGCTGTCAATTTCTCCTTCCTGTCTTACCAGACCTCTGTGCTGAGTTCAGGTAAAGTTAGGAAGGCTTACAGACAGCAACAGAAACAGCGGGTAGCTGACAGAGCTGGGAAATTCCATTATCTATTCTTGGCAGAGCTTCTTAATGTAATGGCAAAATAAGGGAATAACTTTTAACATATTGTCTGTAGAAATTTGCAATCTGCACTATAGTGCACAGGTAATTATCATGTGTGGTTGCTTAGCTAAATGGATCTGAACAAATATTACTGGAAATTCAATGGGGCTTGTTCATTTAAAATTTGGTGATTACATTAAATCTATAGGTTTAAAAAAGAGATTTCAGTCCTCTTACCCGAAAAACTCAACTCATATTTAATGATAGAGTAGCTACCAGTCCTCCAAAATATATACATATTCCCCAAGAAACACAAGATACACGCATATTTCTTGAGGCAAAAAAGATTACTCACTAAGGGCTAGATCCTGAGAATCAATTAATCCAGGGACATCTGTGTGCTCGCATAGAGCACAGTTGACGTCAATGGTACCAACTAGGTGGATCCATTTATACAATCTAGGTCTAAATTATTATTTTGTTCCTTTAATCCCTGTATACAGCCCAATACAGTGGATCCACACATTGCTTTAAAGAATCATATTTTTAACAAATCACTTATTTCTGATTCAGTTCATATTAATATATTTGTACTAGACAGAACTGAATTTCACATTACATATACTAGTATGAACTGGCTGAAGAGATCTCTGAGCGTTTAGCAATTATGTGTGAGAACTCATGGAGGATGGGAGAGATACCAGAGGAATATAAAAAGGCAAATATAGTACCTATGTATAAAAAGGAGAATAAGGACAACCCAGGGAATTATAAACCAATGATCTTAACTTCTGTACCCAGAAAGATAATAGAGCAAACAAACAATTTGTAAGATAATATGGTGATAAGTAACCATCTACATAAATTGTCAAGAACAAATCACATCAAACCAACTTATATTCTTCTTTGACGGGGTACAACATTTGTGGATAGGATGGAAGCAGTAGATGTGATATAGCTTGACTTTAGTAAGGCTTTTGATACTGTCTCACATAACTTTCTCATAAGAAAACTAGAGATATATAGTTTAGATGACCCTACTATAAAGAGAGTGCACAACTGGTTGGAAAAATCATATGAAGAGTAGTTATCAATGGTTCACAGTCAAGCTGGAAGGATGTATTAAGTAGAGTCACACAGGGGCCTGTCCTGGATTCGATTCTATTCAATAGCTTCATAAATTATTTGGATAACGGCACAGAGAGTACATCTGTAAAGTTTGAAAACAATACCAAGCTGGGAAGGACTGCAAGTGTTTTGGAGGGCAGGATTAGAATTCAAAACGATCTTGACAAACTGGAAACATGGGCTGAAATAAACAGGATGAAATTCAATAAGGACAAATGCAAAGTTCTACACTTAGGAAAGAATAATCAATTACAAAAATACAAAATGGGAAATGACTATCTATGAAGGAGTACTGCTATAAAGGATTTAGGAGTTATACTGGATCACAAATTAAATACGAGTCAACAATGTAATACTGTTGCAAAAAAAGTAAATATCATTCTGGGATGTTGTAGTGGGGCGGCTGCCCCATTCCAGTAGGCAGGGGTTAAAAGCAGACCTGGAGAGGACTGCGGCTGGGAAAAGTAGTGACAGCAGCTGAGTGAGTAGCTGACCACAGGCATCGCCAGCTCAATCAGGGCCCAGCTGGCCCTGATAAGAGGGCGGTGAGCCAGGAGCTGAGGAGTCTCACTCTAGCCCTGGAGTGGGAAGGGCTAGCTGCCTAAGAGCAAGGTACCTGGAGTAGAGCAGTGTAGGGAAAGGGCAAGAGGAGCTGGGGAGCTCCAGCCTGGTAAACCCCCAGGCTGAAGGCCTTGGTGAAGGCCTACAAAGGTACTGGGGCTACAGAGGTGCAGCCCAGGAATAGGCAGGGGCAGCTGGTCCTACCCCTTGCCATTATAGACTGCAGACTGCAATGGGAAAGAGGACTAGATGATGATTGGCGGTAGCCACTGAAGCAAGGTGGGTTTAGAAGGTTGGGGTTCCCTTGGGAGGGGAGACCCAGAATAAGGGGGTACTGGTGGGGGCAGAACCCTGAGGAAAGGGAAACCAGGGTCCGGGAGGGACATGGGGCCTAAGGCAGAGGTGCTACGGAGCTGGAGTTGAGCTAATTCCCAAGATAACCAGCCACGACAGTGAGTCATCGCTTTGCTACAGATGTATTAGCAGGAATGTTGGTAAGCAAGACATTAGAAGTAATTCTTCCACTCTACTCAGCACTGATAAGGCCTCAAAGGGAGTACTGTGTCCAGTTCTGGACACCGCACTTCAGGGGGAAATGTGGACAAAATGGAGAAAGTCCAGAGAAGAGCAACAAAAATTATTAAGGGTCTAGAAAACATTACCTAGAAGGAAAGACTGAAAAAGAGGAAGTTATTCACCTTGTGCAGTAACAAAAGTTCTTTGAGATGTGTCCCCCTATGGGTGCTCCATGGTAGGTGTGCTTGGGTCCTTGCGCTGCTGTTCACAGAACTTTGGTAGTGTCCGTTAGGCTTGCGCATGCACTGTCTCCCCTCGTGCTGCGCCACGAGGCTAGATGGCACGCGCGGGCTAACCCTCCTCAGTTTCTTCTTTACCACAGTGTCATTAACAAGAACTCCGAAGTAAAGGGAAAGAGGGTGGGTTGTGGAGCACCCATAGGACACACATCTCAAAGAAAATACGGTTACCTACCTTCTGCAACTGTTGTTCTTTGAGATATGTTGTTCACGTCCATTACGCATTAGGTGTGCGCGCGTCGCGTACATGGACGTCGGAAACTTTTCCCCTCAGCGGCTCCCATCGGGCCAGCAGGGTCCCCCTTCCCGTCAGAGCGGCGCCCCGCTCTAGCGTATATATATATATATATATCCCTGCGGGCCTAACCCTCCCTCGGTTCCTTCTTGCCGGTGACTCCGACAGAGGGGAAGGAGGGTGGAAAGTGTAATGGACGTGAACAACACATCTCGAAGAACAACAGTTACAAAAGGTAAGTAACCGTTTTTTCTTCTTCGAGTGATTGTTCACGCCCATTACACATTAGGTGACTCACAAGCTTACCACTGGAGGAGGGTAGGAGTCAAGGAACAATTGATTGAAGCACAGCCGACCACCGCGTCCTCTCTGGTCTGATGATGGATCGCGTAGTGGGCTGTAAATGTATGCACCGACGACCAGGTAGCCGTTTTACAGATTTCCTGGAGTGGAACCTGTGCCAAGAAAGCCGCCGAGGACGCTTGGGCCCTAGTCGAGTGAGCCCTGATCCCCAAGGGCTGGTACGTTGGCAAGCTCATAGCATGTGCGTATGCAAAGCACAATCCATGCTGACAAGCGTTGCGCAGAGATAGGCTGGCCTTTCATTCTCTCCGCAATGGCAATGAACAGTTGCGTCGACTTGCGGAATGGCCTGGTCCATTCTAGATAAAATGCCAAGGCTCTACGGACATCGAGGGTATGTAGGCTGCGGTGGCTTGGGACCGTATGGGGCTTGGGGAAAGAACACCGGTAAACAAATGTCCTGTCCCATATGAAATTGCGTGATCACCTTAGAAAGGAATTTGGGGTGCGGCCTCAGTTGCACCTTATTCTTATAAAAAACTGTATAAGGAGGTTCTGAAGTGAGGGCTCTCAATTCCGATACCCTCCTAGCCGATGTGATGGCC